AGCTGTTGCCCGTCGACAGACGCTCTCGGAGGGGTAACGAATTGCAAATTAATAGCGAGCATTTACATTTCTGCCGGCGCGATGAAGGCGCACGTGAGGATCGAAAGTCGCAAGCGCGACGGCTTGGTTTTCCGGTTTCCTCCCCCTCCCCCCCTCCCTTTATCTTCTCCAAGTCTCGACGTAAACTCGGCATCATATACATGTAAATCGTCGCAACTTCTTGAAAGATTTGTTTCTTAAAAATTGTCGATTAAGAACTTGTATCTGGTAGATTAGCATTTTTACAATAGTCTCGTATATTTATGCAAAGTAATAAGTTGCTGTTTTAGAAGTAATTAGAAACCTTTTCAAGTGATCAAAATGAGAGATTTTTTCTTTACAGCGTTTTGAAAATGTTTATTAGCATCAGTATTATTAAATTATTTGTCAATTTAATTTGTGATATTACGTACTTCAGTTTAGTTTCCAACTGTGTTTCAAGACCGATAATTAGCGCATAATTTGAATTAGAAATTGTAAAATTCGCAAAAATATTAGGAAGTTTTTGCAATAACGTGAATCCAGATATGGTGAGTGCTAAAGTCACGTTATTCTTTTTTTAATTAGTTGTTAAGAAGATAATGTAACCTTAACGTTCACCGTCTGGATTCACGTTATTGCAAAAACTCCCTAATACTTTTGCGAATTTTACAACTATTACAAAAATTCTCTATTATTAGGCATCGGATTCATTTTGATCGAACATAAAAACCCTCTAAGGGTCTGGACAAGAATCGCAGTTTTATACGTAAGGTAGTAGTTTTAATAAAATCGGTGAGAGAAGAGCATTTACTACTTTTTCTTTTTTTCACTCTGTTCTAGTTTTTCTTATCTATTTCTCTCTCGCTTTCTCTCTCTCAGGAATTGTTAAAACATGGTGAACCAATCAAAAGTAACTTTCTCATGTCTAGACTCTTATTAGAGGGTCTTTAATTAAACATGGCCTTCTTCATTCGTTGTGTTAATAAATTTATTGTTAGTATTTTTTAAGTGCACGATTGAGAAATATAAATTATTACATCTTAAATTAAAAAAGAGGGGAGAGAGAGAGAGAGAGAGTGTGTGTGTGTGTGTGTGTGTGTGTGTGTGTATTTGTGTTCTACTATGTAGAAGCATTTAATATGCTGGCTATATACCAAAAAAAACTTGACCCATTTAATTATTTTACTTACTTGAGAATATATTTTAATATTCTTGTTATCAGTTATAAACAATTTATTGGCTATTCGAACAAAGTCAAATTAAATTTAATAAAGCAACATAAAAATCAATTCACAAGATATATGTGTGTGTATTAAACAATGTCTTCGTAAATAAATATACATATAGCAAACGTTTCGACCTTATATTAGGTAATCTTCAGTGCTTATAGGAAATTTAAATTATGTAACGACGCTGGTATATTCTCAATATAGAAATTAACAATCCATTAGTTTATAAAAATGTTCAATTACAATATTAATCCTATCAAAATTTGAATAAAAAATTCAGCTCATCTTGTGTTAGTTTCTCTTGCGGATGAATTAAAATATTCTTTAGAGTCCTACAGCATATAAGAGAGTTGCTCCTCAAATTACAAATGGAATATTTGTTCACATATTTGACGTTTGCTCCTATAATTTGCGTAATGAATATTTGTGATTTCAACAATCTCATAGGATTTGGGCTTCCTGTGGGATGCTGAGTTCACATAATTCGAGGTTCAAATATGCGAACAAATATTCCATTTGTAATGTGAGGAGCAATTCTCTCTCATATGCTGTAGGATTCTAAAGAATATTTTAATTCATCCGCAAGAAGAACTAACATAAGCTGAATTTTAAAGTTGAAACGTTTGCTATATGTATATTTGCGAAGAAATTGTTTAATACACACTTGCATGTACATTCTGCGAATTAGCTTTTATGCTCCTTTATCGAATTTAATTTTTGTTACCTTCAATTATCGTTTCCAAACAAAAACTTTTAAAACTCCGAGAAAAAATTCTGTCGCAAGTATTTTTGCACATGTACATACGCGAGTGGTCATCACCTCTACCTTCGTCGATCGATGATCGTTAATTGCAAGTCGTGAAAACGAAAGAGCTCCAAAATAAGGGAAGGAAAAGTGGTGAGAGGCGAGTAGAAGGAGGTTGGAAGGTACCGATATTGAATTAGAAGCGATAAATCCCACCCTGCCATGCTGACTTCAGTTGGGGCAAGAGAGGGCACGACGGAATAAGGGGCTCGACGAGAACTTTGACTGGGTGGTCGCGAGTGGCGGGAACGGCGATAAAGAAAGCAGTGAAACGAATATTAAAAGTCGAAACTGATGTGATCGAGCGAGCCAATCGGTCTCCAGTCCATGGGCGACCTGATTCAGGGAAAAAACTTAACATATTTTCTTCTTCATTCCAATACATTAGACCTTTTTGATAAAAAAATTGCATCTACGGTTTTTAAAACAAACATTAAAGTAGACATTATTATAATAATACATGATTTTTTATAATTACAAAAATTTTAATAACGTCTTATGTGGCATAATAAAAAAATATCTTATATATCTTGATTATTACAAATCAACTTAATCTATTAGGTATTACTTGGTTCTATTTGTAAAATAATTAATTGCAACTCAATAGGTTACTGTACTGATTGGCCCAATAAGGCTTCGGCTTAGCACCTAAAATCTAAATAGCTCATCTGATGATCCTCTTCGAAATCTACAACTTTTACTTGAAATCTTTTTTTTTAATGCAAACACGTTTCTGCCTAAGCCGAATACAGAATCCATAGAATCCCAAAACCATTTAGAATACCCATTTCAAACGAGATTTTTTTTTTGGTAACATTTGTTTTTTTTATATCATTTATATTTTTGCGTGAGCGATTTCATTGATAAAGAAAAATACGCACATTTTTTTTGTTTAGAAAAAGAAAAGTACAAATATTTCGTCTTTACAAGAAAAAGGGATAATTATCTCGATTTATACGATGGTAAAATGTGATAGAAAAGGATTAATGAGAGTACAATCCTTTTTGTGTTCGCAGAGCTGCGTGCAGTTCCTACGATCCAATGAGTCCGCCGTTCTTGAGGCCGTAGGGCTGGTACCGTCCGGCGAGTCCGTCGAGGTCTTTGGCGAGCATGGGGGTGCGAATGGGATCGGCGGTGGTAATCAGTGCTCCACTCATTACGCTATGCGCTCAAATTCTAATCCCGGCGCCATTCAGCACACGGTGGGCAGCAACGCCGCGGGCGCGTTGCACCATTATCCTGGCGTTGCTCATGCACCGAAACGTCGTGCCTCCGACACCCCGTGAGTGTGAACACGCATCACCTTGTACTCGTAGATTGCACAGCAATGGTTCTCAATCGTTGGACAGATCGGTATTTGAATTAATTATTCGCCGCTCGATTAATTATATATTTTAGACGAAGTAAATGAACGAATTCACTTTGGTTGGCTTGTTAATAGATACCAATAATTTCAATTTGAAGCCAATTATACGAGTCTATGGAGAATGCCATATATGTTTAGTGTGAGAGACTATCGGTTTATTGAAACATATAGGTGATTCTAGATATAATCTTTCACAATCTTATTATTTACAGTTTTGTTCTGTAGGCTAATATTATCGTACTATATTTATGCTAAATCCAAGTGTTGCAATTTTTTATAGTTGAAAATTGAAAAATTTTTTTTCAAAAAGTAATAACAAAAATTTTAATGCGTTCCAAGATCCTATATATGTTTTTTTAGTTAAAAATGTATGCCTGTTACGGATTAAAAAAATAAAAAAAAAGTTTATTGCACGTATATTCTCAAGCTCGTATTGATCTTGAATTGAAATTATAATTAATTATAATTAATTATGTCATTATTCATCCATTTCACGAATCTATGAATTAACAAATCTATCCTAATTCATAACTAATTCATGACTGGTCATTTATTTGAATGTAAAGACTAAAATAATTGTAATTATAATGCGTATATTAAAGGTATAACAAATACGATTTTCTCTTTATAGATTATATAGATGAAGAAAAATATATTCAACGAATAGATGTATAAATTACTGCGCAAATTGTGTTCTTCACACAGCAAGATCGTGTGGAATCTTCGCTCGTCCATAACTATAATTCACACGATAATAAACGTCACGCAGCTGCGGCTGCGCGTATATACGCGCGTGTAATACGTTTGCCAAACCGCAAATGCCGTAGTTTCGGAAAAATCTTGGCCACCGGCCTGAATATCTCGCCCATATTTATCGCAATCGAATACCCATTAATGCGAACCTGATTCCGCATGTTCAACATTTCGTTAATATTGATAGTGCGCGTGAAAGTATCTCGAAGTCTTAAAAAGAGATTTCGGTAAATCCAAATAAAAGTGATTTATATGTAGATTCGTATATTTCACTTTTATCGATAATGCATCCATTTAACATATAATTTACATATACTACAAAATCTTGAAAATAAATGCACGCATTTATTGATAAAAATGAGTACGAACCGTAGAGTGTGCTAAGCTTCCAAGTGTTTTAAAAACTGATTCTTTAATAAATATTCAGATTGTATTTTTTTTTAGTATTTCGAACTATTAGCTTTGTCTCCAATCATATTTTTACTCCCTTCTATAACTCGGATTTTTTTTATCTAGCCAAGTTATTTTACTGTTCTAGGCTTTTAGAAAATGTGGAATAATCATTTTTCTCTCACATCTCTATTATATTATTAAATAGTATATTATTAAATAGTTTTTTTAGCTCAAAAAACTTTTAATACTTTTGTAATAAAAACTGACATTTTTGTAAAAATGAAGAAATTTCAAAATCAAATTTTGCTTATGACAAGAAAGATCCAAATTATAGCCGGAGAGTGAATAGTTATCGAACTGTAAGCCGTCGCTTACGAATAGAAGAAGAAGAGTAATTTCGATCGAGATTTCTTAATGCACTTGTCCTACTCACCATCCAGCCGAGGCATTGATGAGATCAACGCCGGACGATCGGGATTTCCGGTCAGGCTGATATGCACGTAGATGGAGTAGACGAGAATGGGGCGCCACGAAGCGAATACGAAGGCGACAAAACGCGGTGCGCGCCCTGGCAATGCCATCCTGGCCTTCTCTCGATATGTCTGTCGGTGACGTTTCCATATATCATCAGGGCACCACCTTTCCTAAACACCCCACCGTGCCCTCCGCGTAGCCTGCTACCCCTTCGCCCATGAGTGCCGACGAACTTGCCTGGAGTGCCTATTGGCATCCTGCTAATACACTCCGTATAGCAGCGCACACTTGTCGACGAGCGTGGGTGTACGCGTAGACAGTCGTCTTTGATTCGCAGGCAACCCTCGCATGAACTACAGAATGCCCAAACAATTCGCTGTGTAAAACTAAAAGCATTCTATATATGTATAGCCGACAATATCGAGGCTAAGCAAGTTGAAGAAAGTTCGTTTTTGGATGCGTGAAAGATATCATAAATCACATCGTCTTTTAATCTTTCTGATATTATCGATTAGTGTAGGGCAATAGTTAAAGTCAATTTTTGCAGAACGGAAATGTCACTATATAGGCGTTGAAACAGTGTCTTAACTTGAGACAAGAAGTACAATGAAATAATGAATTATAACAAATTTTACTCAAGGAAAAGCTGGAATATTTAAAAAACAGATAAAGATTAATCCTATTAAGTTTAACGTGGCGTATAATGACATTAATTTTTACTTCCTTTCGCTGATGGATCTTCTGCGCTTCTAGGTACTATGAGAACGGCGTTCTTATGGATGATATGCCGGTATACGGCAAGAGATCTGTCAATCCTTGGAGTCACCACCAACAGCAGCAGCAGCAGCAGCAGCAGCAGCAACAGCAGCAGCCAACGGACCCATCCTATTGCTGGTACCATCCGTTGCACTCCTCCGGCGGATCGATTCAAGGTCACGCGCACGGCCACGGTCACGGGCCGAGCCCGGTGCCGCCTAGTCTCGTGCAGATTAATCAGATAAACGCATTCTCCGCGCCGCATCATCTGACTCAGCAGCCACAACAATCATTAGGTCATGGTTTACAAACGCAGAACGGCGGCAGCCTCGACGACGAATGGAAGAATATCCATGTGATGCTCAATTGCATCCTCGGCATGGTTGAGAAGACAAAGAGAGCATTGGCGATCCTTCAGCGACGAGGATGTTCCAGTCCAGCGGCCGCGGCGCCTCCACCAGGTGTAGTCGCGGCGCAGAATGGTACCAGCAATAATGGCAATAGTAACGGCAATAATCCGTCTTCGACTAACGGTGTGCAAGTAGAATCGTCCACTGGCGATCGAGATGGTGGTCTGAAACGATTGTCCGGTGAGATCGTCGCGCAAACGATCAGGGCAACTGAAGACAAGGTGGCCGAGGTCAAACGAAGAGCTGGTAGGTTTTGATGAAGTACGATAGTCGTGAAAATTTTTAACTCTCTGGAGTTGACGATGAGTCTATTTGATTCACTCAACTAAAAATTTTTTTGTTAAAAATGTTAGATAAGTCAATTTTTTTATGTTACATCTGCGATTATTTTTATTAAAATATATTTACTATTTTTTTTTTTATGAGTTATGTCATTTTGATTTTTTGAAATTAATTAGTGCCTTGATTAACATAAATTAAATGGATTTTGCAAACCTAGCGTTAGTAACTGTGTTACAGATTTTTCAGCTCGAGAGGATTAACTTTATTATATCAGAAAGTTGTGTTAACCAATCGTTTAAATTTTTTATAAAATTATTAGATAGATCGTTGTCATTCTGACTGCTCGAATTAATCATTTTAGAAGCAATTGAATAGATTCAATTTGGATTATAAACAGATAACTATAATTTCACAATTTAATACATAATTTAACTTTGTAGATATTAAAAAGATTATTTCAAATGTAATAATTAAATAAGGCGGTATTAAATAAGAATGCTAATTGAAAATGGTCTCACGGGAATTTCTAGAGGAAGCTGTGTTAGAAGTGAAAAGGGCTGCAGTGGCGGAGGTGCAACGTGCCGTAGCGGTTGCGGTTGCGGAGTCGAGAGCGAACGAACGTTTGAGGGTTCATCGATTACTGGATCTTCCTCTGTCCCAAAGAAATCCGGGCAGTCTCCGTCAGGGCCCTTTCCTGAGAATTCACGGGAACTCGACCGCGGTTGAGGCCAGCACCAGGAACGTTACGACGCCGACGACGACACCGAATTCAGCGCCATCGACCACTGAGGACGAAAAAGACATTCACCTCACTAGCATGATGGGATCTGTAAGTGTAGCCGTATGATTAATTCATTTGCAAGAATCTTAAAATGCTGATTGTGTGTTTAAATTTACAATATATCTTTCTCCTTCAAGTAAGGAAATACATTTTTATGTTAATATTAAATATCGATAAAATAAACATAACTATGATTGTCATTATAATTGTCATTATTATACAATCATATTAACGTAAAGTGGAATAACTTTGGCTCAAATTTTGATAATTTTCACACGCCAAGATTGAAATGTTTTATGACATACTTAATTTTGGACATGCATGCAACTATCTAGGCATTTTTTTTAAATTTGAGCTAAAGTTACTTTGTCTAAGTTAAAGTTACTTTATTTTACAATATATTATATAATCAGTTTTTCTATTTTTTTTCTTTAAATCTCACAATAGGTATACATGATGTGCATATTATTTAATATTTTATACGATTTTTCTTGGATTTTATTGTTATCTGAGTTAGAACTAAACTATTATATTTAAATAGAAACCAGTCGAGTTAAGAGTGCACAAATCCTCATCTTTTTTTTCAGAGCTGTTGGAATTGTGGCAGGCCCGCCCTGGAGACCTGCGGTGGATGCGGGATCGCTAGATATTGCGGTTCCTTCTGCCAGCATCGCGACTGGGAGGCCGGCCATCATACGACTTGCAATAACCTGCCGCCACGTGAACCGCGAAGATCAGCCTCACGCAGTCCGCCAAGGATCGCCGCCACGAATCTCTCTACGAACATCAACGAGGTCGACGCCACGCCGGTGCCGTCTGCCGGGATCTCGAAGGGAAAGTGACGTCGCAGTGCTAGGAGCAATCAGCGATCGGCCAGAGCAATCGATTACGAGTCACGCTGATCGCGTTTCTTATAAAAAAACTCTTCTCTGTAAAGAATGTGTGAATTGAAATGAACCAAGAGGAACTCACTCCTGTGAAAACGGATACCTGATCTTCAAAATTGGAGATTGGCTTGAGACTGTTGAGATATTCGTTTGTCCTCTCCGCTTTCCGATTATATCTCCGTGAGAATTAAGACGAAAGAAAAGAATCAATTCCAAATTTGGATAATTAGGTATTCACACATTCACAAGATAAATTCCTGCGCCCATTCTTTTTAACTCATTCATCTTCTACAGTGTTTTCGCCGATCATACATCTTCTGCGTACACTTATCCTTTCCTTTCCGTGAAACTGGCCAGAGATTTCTTTTGTATTATATCTGGATGGTGGGCGAGTATGAATAAGAATTACTCTGATCCAACATATTTACGAAAAAGTTGATTATACGCTTGTCAAGAATACCTGAAAACTGGACTAGCATTGGAATCGAACTAGTTCGAGGATCGGTTTATTCGCTGGATAGATTTCTAATTCCGGCGTTTCAGTCAATTCAAAATATGCGATAACACATGAAGTTTACGATTATTTAGCCAGTTAAAAAACCGCGAATATAGGCTGATATTTGTAGACAGTTCTTATATTTAAGATTATCTTAAGTACAATCTTAAAATATCGTAAGTTAATCATAGATTCATTATTAACTTCTTTAAGATATTATTTAAAACGATCTTAAATAAGAACAGACTATGAATATCAGCCATCGAATTTGATGTTATTTATCTTTGGAGATTATATTAACCCTTCGGCCACGTAATTGCCCCTTTAAAGGTATTGTCGATATTTTTTATTGTGGATTCTGATAGATTATTTAAATCTTAATAAAAATTAATAAAATGCAATCTTAGCAAAAATTAATAAAATACAATCCGACTTCTATGATAGTGAACGAAAAACTATCGATGTTAAAGCTTTAATAAATATATCAGAATTTTTCAGATTTTTATACATCCGAAATAAAAAAATTTGCTCCGTTTCTCGAAGATTTTTACTGTTGACGGAAGACATTTTATGTTGCGGAGGGTTGAAAATTATAATAACGTTACTCGAACAGTATGTACGCGAAAGTTCAAAAGTTGAATAAAGGATGGAGTATCTTAAAAAAATTTGTGTTGGTCGAGCACATTAAATAGTTTTAATATTTTGACAACTTGAACGATTTAACAGTTTACTTCGGTCAGCTAACAACCAAAAATAGTCAATGTTAAAAATGCACAGAAAAGCAGGTAAACTTCTTAAGAAAGATAACTAGATTATTTCTCTAGATAACTTACCATATTTGAATGAAACGTCGGATATATGTGACAAATCCGTTTTAAGATTTTATCAATTAATGATACAAAACGAATACTTGATTTCACAAGTAGTGTAATCGATCATAACGTTTTTCTGGACAAATAACGTCGTTGAAGTATGCATAGTATTGTAAATGTACACGTTTATCAGAATCGTGCCAGAATCGTTCTCCTTTTTCTCCTCCACCGAATCGCAGAGATTTCCAATCCATTTATTATCTAGGGTTAAACCAAACAAAATAGAAATAATGCGTGTCTTAAACAATCTCTGCAATTGAAAGAGTAATAGATAACCGTGAATCCGATCAATGAATCGCAGATGTGCGTTTCGCATTGTTCTGAATCGATATTATAGCGGTAAATGTAGCATTATGAAAATATCTCCCATTAGCGTAGATGTTTCTTCATTTCGTCGTTAACCAGTTAAATTCCTCAAAGCGGAGTTGAAAAAACACGCTCGTCCAATTAAGGATTATTTGGACGTGATTTAGAAAAAATGCATTTACATTGCTCATTTGAAGCTGTTTAATAAAACGTAAAACTTTTACTATTCTCGATATCGGTTGAATCTATGCATAAAATTATAATGTTGCACGAGTTAGTTTCTCTTCTTCTCTTCTTCAAACGATCGAATAATATGTGTTCTCTCACATTGATGTAACTTTTTACTATATCTCGATATTACACCGCAGAATATCGTTATGAAAATAATATGTATTGCAAGATGAAGTTGATATATACATGCACACACAAACATAGCTACAGTATACATAAAGTGATTTGATTTTATTATGTGTCTACGCTCATCTCGATGTTTCGTACATGAAGAACGAATTGCATCGATTTTATCCTAGTCAATTGATAGGTTTAACGATTGTAACGATTATAATGTAACTTGAGAAGTTTCGAATCTTTTACTTTGCGCGCACGCATCTCAGGAGATGATTATCACGTATATTTAAGTCTAGTCAACACGGGAAGATGAAGTGGATTTATCGGTCATATGCGTTAGGGAACTTTGCTCAAATCTAGACTACGAATTATTGTAATTTTTCCTAGGCACATTACGTTGCGGGGATGTATGATGGATCCTATAAAGTGTATTTATAAACTAACGAAATATATGATTATTCTATGTCGAATATAAGACTACAATACCAGTAGATTTTTTATTATACCTTACAATTATATTAGAGGAAAATTGGATGTGAAACTTTAATTGGATAAATAGATTAAAATTGTATATGCTTACTTTTTTTGTAAAAGACATAATTAATATTCTGTGATATACAATATAATTTGTCATTTGTTTAACAAACATATCTACAAAATGGAATTCTCTCAAAATGAATCAGAAATTAAA